TGCTTTGCACAGCATCATGAATGATTTCTACGTAGATGACTACCTTAAGAGTTCACCTTCTATGGGCATGGCGATTCAACTGGCGGCCGATGTCTCATCTGCTTTGGCTGACGGTCAGTTCTATCTCAGGAAATGGAAATCGAATTGCACTGAAGTCTTGGCACATCTTCTTGGCGATGCTGATCCATGTCAGCTAAATCCGCACTTGGCAGAAACTACTGTTCTTGGCTTGCACTGGGATCCACTCACCGATGAACTCTTCTATCAGGTCAGCTCTTATGATGCACAACATCTTACGAAAAGGCAAGTGCTTAGCGATGCTGCAAAATTATATGATCCAATTGGCATGTTGGCACCAGTCATCATTACGGCTAAACTTTTCATACAGAAACTCTGGCAGACAAAATTGGCATGGGATGACCCATTACCACTTGAACTGTTGCAAGAATGGCTCATATACCGAAAACAGCTGTCCCAAGTGGAGGCAGTGCGAATACCGCGTTGGATAGGCATGCAACCCGGATATCAAATACAACTTCACGGCTTCTGCGATGCTAGTGTCAAGGCAATGGCTGCAGCACTCTATTTGGCAACAAACCACAATAGCAATATCACTAGTCACATTATCACATCAAAAACTAAAGTGGCACCATTACATTCGGTAACAGTACCCCGATTGGAACTTTGTGCTGCGCAATTGTTGGCTACTCTTTTACACGAAACAAGGCAGGCTTTGCATTTGGAGCACGTAGCATACACTCTATACTCCGACTCAAATATTGCTCTATGTTGGCTACGCAAAAACACATCACAATTAAAGCAGTACGTTGCTAATCGCGTTGGCTGCATTCAATCGATGACAGATATCAGGCATTAGCATCACATTCCTACCAAACTCAGCCCAGCTGATTGCGCCAGTCGTGGCATATCCCCTTTGGCGTTGCATAATTACGCATTATGGTGGCACGGTCCTAATTCAACTGATTATTCAATCAATGAGCTGCACCACTGTGCACCAGCAGAGCTGGCAATAATGGAAGGCGAGTTAAAACCAGTTAAGGTAAAGGCATTGCAGGTAACAGGTCAACCCGCATTACAGACACACTACACTGCTGGCGATGAATTGGTCGTCATAGATCTGTTGGACCGATTCAGTCATCTTGGCAAGCTATTGCGCACTACTGCATATATATTGCGTTGCAAAAAGGCACATCAGCGTTTTCGTTCACATACACACATCTGTACAGGCGAAATGGACATTGCTTTAAATCACCACATCAAGGCAGAGAAAGCGAAATATTTCGCAGCGGAAATCAAGCAGCTGAAAAAGGCACAACCCATATCCACATCCAGCAAGCTCATTGCACTGAGTCCATTTATCAACTCCACAGCGGACAATATATTGCGATTAGGCAAACGCCTACAGAATGCGAGGGTGGCAGAGCCACAGCGTCATCCAATCATTCTTTCGAAGGATAGCACATTGGCCAGGCTTTTAATATGGTAGGTGCATCAGGACAAACTTCATGGCGGTATACAAATTATGCTTCATATGATTCGACACAAATATTGGATTCTACAGGCACGCATTTTGGTCAAGCAATGCATACACTCATGCGCGATTTGCAGGCGGCATAATCACATAATGCTAAAACAACGTATGGCGACATTACCAAAGGCTCGGGTCACCCATCTCCATCATTTGCAAAATCTGGCTTAGACTATTGCGGTCTATTCAACATACGAATTGGCTCAAAGGCTGTACGAACCGTGCGGAAGGCTTACGTGGCAATCTTTGTGTGCATGGTAACCAAGGCAGTGCACATCGAACTGGCTGAAGATCTCACTTCTGAGGCATTCATAAATGCATACACCCGTTTCGTGAACCGGCGTGGTCCATGTAACTATTTATACAGTGACAATGGCACGTAATTCATTGACGCAGATCGTTTAATGGCCGCTGACTTATAGGCTTGGCATAATTAATATTCTCAACAGCAATTGGCAAATCGAGGCACAAAATGGCATTTTCTGCCACCTGGCGCACCTACTTACTACGCATTGTTGGCACCCATTCCATTTACTATGATCAGCTACATACTCTACTTGTACATATCGAGGCTTGCTTGAATTCACGTCCACTTATACCATTGCATGACACTTGTGACGACAAAATGGCTCTATCACCTGCAGATTTCCTAATTGACAGATCTCTATTGGCAGTGCCAGATGAACCTAATGGCAAGGTACCTAGCAATAAATTATCATACTGGCTACAATTAAGGCAAATGCAACAGCATTTTTGGCGACAATGGCATGATGAATATCTTTCAACTTTGCAACCACGTTCTAAATGGCATCAGAATGGCGACAACATCAACATAGGCGATGTCGTGCTTATCCGGCACGAGAATCTACCAGCAACACATTGGCGGCTTGGCAAGGTGATTAAACTTCACCCAGGCGAAGACGGTTTGGTACAAGTAGTCACGATCAAGCATTCAGCAGGCGAATGCATGCGACCTATCCAAAAAATATGCAGGCTTGTAGAGCATCCTGAATGTACCCGTCCAGCCGGGCAGGATGTTTGAGATTTGGCACAGCAACCAAGCGATATGGCATTACCCATTTAGTAATTTTATGCGCGACAGCTGCATTTTGACGTCTGGAAAACAATAATATTTGGCTTCCTTTCTTCTTTCCGCTTCCTTCTTTTACTTCGGGTTGGCGATGTGCGTACCTTATCTATCGTGGCGTGGCTAATTTATACAAAGTGTTGTATTTTAAAAATTGTGATCAAATAAAGAAACATTATATTTGCGTGTATGAAATTATTGTTTTTCACTTTTTTCATACAAAAATATAAGTGTTTATTTTTATATAGGCTAATTGGTCAAAACTTTTTTTATTTTATTGTTGTTAAAAATAAAAAACAAAAATTAAAAATTCACAATTTGATTTTTCAATAATTTTTATTTTTCTTCGATATTTCGACTTTAGTCTAAAGTCATCATCAGGAAACTAAAACATTATATTCAAATACTAAACCACTTATAATACATAATGGTAGACAAAAGGATAAATGTGTGTGTAAATATATATATATATATATTTATATATATGTAAATATATGTAAGGAAAAGTACAATGTTTTATTATATAATACCAATGTTTAATACTAAGTTATTAATCCTGTACTTGTTTATTGATGTATAATACTTTTATACATCTGGGCACAGTTGTCAACATCAGTTTTAAAATTGAGCCTTATGTCAGGTGGAATTTTTAGAATTGCAAGCATCTCCAAGAAGTATCTTTTGCGATGATTATTTTCTTGATGTAAAATTTTTATATTTTCTAAATCTGGCTCATGGTGTGTGGAAATACAATGTGAAGCAAGGGCTGTTTTGGCTTCCACACCGACTTTATTTTTTATGCTGTGTTTATGTCCAGCCATTCTTGTTTTTAATTTATTTTTTGTCGTTCCAACATATACCTGATCACAGACGTCATACCCATCACCTTTGCAACTAATTTGGTATACTACGTTCGATTTGTCCAAGTTATTTATTTTTGATTTTAAGTTGGAATAAAGTGCGTTTATTGTATTTCCAGATCTTAGTGTGATATTATAATTTGCTTTGTCATGAATGTTAGAAGTCAGTATTTGGTTAGAGAGTTTAGGAATATGTATAATGCTTTTGTATGTTCTGTTATCCTTATTTCTAGTGTCATTCTGAAAGATGTTTATATTTTTGATAATTTTTTCCACATTGGAAGAGGGGAAATCATTTTTCTTTAGAATTCTTCTAAATTCTTTCTGTAGATCATTATGGAACGTTGGATCGGTTAGATGTAGAGCTCTTTTTATCATATTTTTTGCTGTATTTTGCACTACATGGTATGGATGGTTTGAATAAAAATTGATGATCCTTCCTGATGCCGTTGGTTTTTGATACCATTTGGTAAAGATGTAATTATTGTGTCTTAACAATTTGATGTCAAGGTAAGGAAGGATATTATCTGTTTCTTCTTCCATAGTAAATTTAAAATTTTTATGGAAGTTATTCAATATTCTTAAAGTTTCATCAATTTTATCTGTTTTTACTATCCCAAACAGATCGTCAACGTCATTTCGTCATGATTCTGGGTTTGCAGACCATTTCTTCAAGACAGTTATCTAGTAACTCTTCCATAATAATATCTGCTATTATGGGTGAAATTGGTGATCCCATCGGCATCCCTTTTCTTTGTGTATATAATTTATTTTCAAAATTGAAATAGTTATTGTCTTTAAGACAAAAGTTTAAAATATCAAAAAATAAGGCTTTTTTAATTGTTGTAAAAGTCTTTATTATGTTCCATTTTTTCTCTATAATTTTTAAAGCCAGGTCAAGAGGAATGCTAGGAAATAAGGAAGTAACGTCAAAAGAGATCATTTTCTCATCATCATATATATAGGAATTGTTGATTTTATTTTTAAATTCTATTGCATCCTTTACATTATAGATAGAGTTTTTTGTTAAATTTTTAAGGATGGACGCCATGTATTGGCATAATTTATACGCTGGTGAGTTAATGCAAGAACAAATGGGCCTAAGTGGCAAATTCTCCTTATGGACCTTTGGTAAGCCATAAATTCTAGGAGGATAAGTAGTGGTGGCTATTAAATTTTCTTTCTCCTTTTTATCAATAATGTGGTCATCATATAATTTAGTTACTAAAGTTTTATTTTTAGTTTGTAATGACGTTGTAGGGTCTTTTCTTAAAACTCTATAAGACATTATATCATTTAAAATGTTGTTCATTTTTGAATTATAATCTGCTTTTGTTATGGCAACAGTTTTGTTACCTTTGTCTGATTTTACTATTAATATATTATTATTTTGTTTAAGAAATTTTTTAGTTTGTTCTACTGTTCTTAAAATAAATTTCTGTTTTGCATTATGTTTTAATTGACGTTTGTTGTTTTTTACTATATTAATAAGTTTTGTTCTTGCAATGTCTTGTTCGTCTTTGTTTTGCAACGTTTTTATGCAGTCCTCTCCATCTGTTATGCATTGGAAAAGAGGAAAGCTTTTTTTAGAGAAAGGTAAAGCGAATTTGGGTCCAAGAGAAAGAAGCCATTGTATTTCATGTGGGAACTCAATGTTTGTTTTGTTTATAAACCAGTCATCTTTTTGATTCATGTTAAATGATTTTAATAAATTTTGTTTTAATTTTTGGAATTTGTTATCTAAAACTTTAGTTTTATTTTCTTTTAGTTTTGTGTTTAAAATTTCTTCACTGTTGAAAAAGAAATCAGCATCCATTTTAGTCAATTCAGTTGCAATTATACTTTTAATTTCATCTAAATCTCTTTTATTATTCTTTAACAGAATGTGCTTTTGTGAAATGGTCAAATTAAGTATTTTATTATGAAATGTGTCAATATGTTTTATTAACGTCGTGTTAATTTTAGCTATAAACATATTATTGGCAAAAATCTGAGAAATATGTTTATTAGAATCTTTAATAAAATTTGGAATTATACCAAAATACCGACAATTGGTTAGAAATGTAATATCACATCTAAGTATTGTATTTTTCTTACTCAGTTTTATGTATTTCTTCAGTGTTTGGTTAGTATTTTTGTTGTATTTTGTTTTAAGTTCGTTATAAGACACCATATTTGAGTGTTTACCGGCGCGCCTTCCGAATATTTAAATGTTAATAATTTTGTGACCAAATAATTTTAATAAGTGTTTATTTTTATATAGGCTAATTGGTCAAAACTTTTTTTATTTTATTGTTGTTAAAAATAAAAAACAAAAATTAAGAATTCACAATTTGATTTTTCAATAATTTTTATTTTTCTTCGATATTTCGACTTTAGTC